TTACCTGGATATAAAAAAAAAAAAACGCCGAGCAAAGTAAAAATTATATTCTACTTCAGTCTGTCAGTCAACAAACATGGGATAGCGGAATTAGCCTGACAAGGTCACAATTAGAAGAGAAAAAACATGTTTCTTCTTCTTCTTCTTCCTTTTCTTCTTCTTCTTCTTCTTCTTCTTCTTCTTCTTCTTCTTCTTCTTCTTCTTCTTCTTCTTCTTCTTCTTCTTCTTCTTAGTCTTCTTCTTCTTCTTCTTCTTTTTCTTCTTTTTCTAATTCTTTTTCTTTTTCTTCTTTTCTAATTCTTTTTCTTTTTCTTCTTCTTCTTCTTCTCCATTTTTTTTTATTTCTGCTTCTTCTTCTTCTGCATTCTTTTTCTTTTCGTCTTATTCTTCTTTATCTTCTTATTTTCTTCTTCTTCTTCTTCTTCTTCTTCTCCCCTCCTCCTTTTTTTTTTTTTTTTTTTTGGGGTTCTTTTTTCCGTTATCCTTCAGTGGATCCTAGACCTTCAACTAACCCACATAAAGTCGTTCTACCCTTGCTGTCCTGTGTAGTTCATCCAATACCCTATCCTATCCCTCTCTAATTCCCTTTTCCGTATATTTTATTGTACCTTTTTCTGTTGACTCGGGTAGCTCCAGTGCAATAGTTATATTCTTATCCGGTTTTCTCTGTCTTTGTCCTAGCGTTGCAACTCAAAACCTTTATTAGTATTTACAAAGAGACACTGGTACACATTCATGAATATTTAATAACTTAAAAACGTCACTTAGTTTTTTAAAAGCATGCAACTTAGAATCCTAGAAACGAACAAATATATTGCTGTCGGTTTCTTTTTTTTTTTTTTTTAGTTCATACCGGCTGTCATCATGTCTGCCTTCTGTCACATGTCCCTCAAATCATTTCTTATATATGGCCTCCCAGTCCTCTTATCTCATTCAAAATTGTGTAGGTCCTGGAGTTCTCTAAGTATACCTTGACCTAAAATATAAAACATTCTGTTGTAGTTAATAAGATAATTGACCAGTCATCCTCACCGCACATAGGACAAGCCCATAAGCGCTCGGATCCCATCTTCAGTATCTTCCTCAGCGTGTGGTTAATGATAACAACAGTTATGTAGTGATTTGCTATTCTTTTTAGGCTAGGTGTATAATGTTCCAATCTGGCGACACCTTTGTTGACATGATGTTTTCATATATTATTGCTAAGATTGCCGATTGACCGTCGTCCTCTGAATCATCTACTCACCCTGCCTTCCTTAGAGCATTGAGAAGATTTGGTCGGATCTATTGCTTTTCCTTTGTCTACCTTGTCCCTGCCAGCAAGCCAGTCCACTCATGCATCCCTCTTACCCCAGAGTGTCCTGGCACAATAATGACACGTCAGACGAAACTTCTTAGAGACAAACGTTCTATTATTTAATATCCTAGCATCATGCTAGGATATTTTACCAGTAGAAGGTTAATAAGGTTTCCTGTAAATGAAAGGCAACACACAAAAGATCAATAAAACTCGTAACTATATAACGTACTAGTTACATTTGCTAATACATACCCACTCAAGCCCCATACGGTAGTATCTGTTATGAAGTTATCAGAGTTACCTTTACATTGCCAGCCTTGTTCATGCCAGTGTGATCAATTTCCCAGAGGTTTCACACTTCAACGTTATTACAAAGTTGAATGGCCCTTTGTATATGCGAATGTCCTTAATTGATTTTCCCAGACATTTACTGTTCTGCCCTGACTTTTCTGTAGCACAAAATTGGTTTAACGCACCGCTTCATGAGAGTTATTTTAATGTCTCTGTGTGTTCAACATTAAGATTTAAATTGATACGTGTGTATTTAAGTCTAATCCTGTAACTAAATGCTGGATTTAGGAATAGGCCAAATAAACTATAGATTGTGGCTTCACAATCTTGTAGAGCCTCAAACAAATCCCTATTTATTTCCCAAATGCGACTTTCTTTAATAGATTTTAAATGCAATGTTCTATAATTTTTCCCCCTGGACATGTTCTTATATTAATATTTTTTTAAATTGTGTGTGTATATATATATTACATATATATTACAAATTTTTAGAGGACCGTTTTATATCATGTATGTGATTTAGCATACGCATGATTTATTATTTCGTATAATGGAAATAAATCTACACGAGTACTTCCACTTTCATGTTTTTAAAAGACGTAAATAAATTAAACGACAGCATACTTCATCAACCATATATATATAAAAGGTGTTTATGTTTTTTTTTTTTAGGATTTCTCAGATTAACTGGTGTAATTTAAAACGGTATTTAAGTTGTACCCCTCCAGGACATCACACAAGCGATAATCACCCAGTGACACAAAGTGCCATCATGCGGATGAGGATCACCTGTGGAGAGGTCCCAGGAACCCCATTCAGCCGTTAGGCCATATTTAAGGCCCGGCTATATTTAGGACCCCCTGCATAAGCCAGGATTGGGATTTTTAAAGAAAATTTCATGGTACAAGAGGACGGCAGTGAAAAACGGTAGCGGCATTTGGGCTTTATATAGCTTAGGGCTCTCACCAAGTGTAAATCCGACCCGGCTGATAATACTGTGCAAGACATGTTCACCATATTTAGTTTTTTGTACCGTGGTTCTGTTAGGTAATTCACAGCCAGTATTCAGTTTCACTAATGTGTAGATTAAATTTTAAACTTAAAATTACCCACTAAGAATGGATCACACACACGATTGTTATTATAACCCAATACTTATGGTGTGTGGGTTTTTTTAAGTGGAGAACAAACGTGATAGTGAAGAAATTTTCGCAATTGCTGCATTGCGCATATGGTGCTAAACATATATTTCATAGACCAATGCGCACTTGATGAGTGATGACATGAAAATGAAGCTGGCCGCCTTAACTTCACGGGACATTTCCTTGTACCCGTTTTACGACTGGGTCGACGTTATGTCAGTTACCAAAATTCCGACTGATGTTGTTGAGAACTCTGAACCTCCTTGCTCCATAGGACTGCTGGTTACACCTCCCTGGTCTGGCTATTACAGATGTTCTTATTATTTCCTTCTTTTTCTTCTTCTTCTTCTTTTTCTTTTTTTTTTTTTCTTCTTCTTCTTCTTCTTCTTTTTCTTCTTTTTTCCTCTTCTTCTTCTTATTTTTCTTCTTCTTCTTCTTCTTCTTCTTTTTCTTCTTCTCCTTCTTCTTCTTCTTCTTCTTCTTTTTCTTCTTCTTCTTCTTTTTTTTCTTCTTCTTCTTCTTCTTCTTCTTCTTCTTCTTCTTCTTCTTCTTCTTCTTCTTCTTCTTCTTCTTCTTCTTCTTCTTCTTCTTCTTCTTCTTCTTCTTCTTCTTCTTCTTCTTCTTCTTCTTCTTCTTCTTCTTCTTCTTCTTCTTCTTCTTCTTCTTCTTCTTCTTCTTCTTCTTCTTCTTCTTCTTCTTCTTTTTCTTCTTCTTCTTCTTCTTCTTCTTCTTCTTCTTCTTCTTCTTCTTCTTCTTCTTCTTCTTTTTCTTCTTCTTCTTTGTTTGTCTACCTCTGGACTTTGCACTACGACTTTAAAGGAAACCCCCAGGAAGTCTACTTGTTGGAGAGGCAGTAAGTTTGTTCTTGGTTTATCCACAATGGGGCCCTGGAACACACGGGGAGGTCCTTTTTATAACTTCTGTGGATATTGAACAGGGTATCTGGGATCTGCCTAATTTGTCTACCGTCCAGAATGATATATTTTCAACGCTCGTCTAGTACCTTTAGGTAACAGCCGGGGAGGGGGTTGGGGGGGGGGGGGGGGTAAATTAATCGATGGGTAGAATGCTGTGAACCCAAAACTCTATGATAGAAAGCCAAGTGGCTAGCTAAAGTGCTATAAAGGCTCTCAAAAAATGCACGAAAACAGACGTAATTAGTCTGTCTGACTTGCTTGCAAAGAGCACTTTTTTTTCGTCCCCCCCCCCCCTAAAATGACCTTGACTGCCAGGTCGACACCCCCCCCCCCTTCCCCCAATCATCATGGGATGTAAAGACCGCTGGTGTGACGTCCTCACACAGGCCAAGTGACATAACGCAACAGGGGTATTAAGAGAAAAAAACGGTCCTGTGCATTTTTTTTTTTTTACTTCACTGGCTTGTGTTTCTGTTTAGGGAGTTTTCTGAAGTTAATTTATTTTCATAATTTTTTTTTTCCCAGGTAGTATGATGCCTTTCTCTAGAAGGCGTGAATCAATCGTTCGCGGGCATTCTATGAACATAGAGGCACCCATAACTAAGGTAAGTAATAGTTAAGTTAGTTGCGTATCCTTTAATAGTGCTCTTGACAGAGCTCATCAACGAATGTTACATCTCCCCCAGACACTTCATTGAGGAACAAGGTGGAGGAAAAAGAAGAACTAGAACAAGAACAAGAAATGTTATGGAAGAGTGAATTTATTTCCCCCCCCCCCCCCAACAACGACAGGGCCTCTGAACTCACACAGGGAGTACTACAACTCAAAAGCTATGAGAACGGACATTTTTTCTAGTGAAATCAAATTCTGATAATTGTAGATTTTAACACGTTTTCAGTGATCTCATAGCCAGGGGGCCGACCAGCACAAAGCTGGGTACAGGATATAAAAAAGCACCTTGGGTAGGAAAGTACAAGAGACTGGAGAGCGTGCAAGAGGCTGAATTTCTTTCAGGTCGGCTGTGTTGAGAGCGCCATTCAGTAAAGGACCAGATGAAGATCATATATATGTATGAGCGTTTGTGTGTATGTATGTGTGGGTACATATATAAATATGTATATATGCATATTATACACATGCACATATATAAACATATATATATATATACACACACACACCTAAGTACCAAATACTATGCTACACAGCTAAGAAATACTACAACCAAGAGACTTACCTATCACACACATAGACACATACTCTCACGAACATACACAAACACACACACAGATGCACGCGCAGATGATTTTTTGAAAGCTATATCTATAGCCGAATTATTTTCCTTCAGGTCATTAACATCATCAATGCAGCTCAGGAGAACTCACCACTGTCTGTAGCCCAGGCCCTGGACAAAGTGCTGGAGATCCTCCAGACCAGCGAGCTTTACTCTCCCTTCCAGCATCAGGAAATTAGCACTGATGATGACCCAATGGCTAATGATTTTGTGGAAGGGCTTATGTCTGTAAGTTGTCTCATTTGTTGTCCAGATGCCCTGCACTTTTTAAGGGGACAATACTCACAATGAAATGTCTATTACAGGAGTCCTTAGAAAAATTATGCCTAAAAAAAGGTGCAGTTTCATTGCTTGCCTCTGTTCTTCCCAATAAACTCTTTGGGAATCTTGTTTTGAGGCTCAGTTAGCCTATACCCACATGCACAGTTGTAATACCAGCACCAATACCTCAGTGTTCATGATCTTGTCCTGCCACTTAATGCCAAGTACTCTTGGCGAATAAGTTGGGTTTTTGTTTTAATCGTAAGTTTTCTGTTCTCCCAAACTGTTTTTATAAATTTGCTCATTAATGTTTCTGCCTTACTTATCCTTATGTTGATTTCTTGGTCCAGAAATAGTTTGTGTGGAACCCAGATAGGTAAATGGTCAACTGTCTCCAGCTCTTCACCATCAGTGTAAACTGCAGGTCTGTCATTAACACCTTTCACCATAACCTTTGTCTTCTTTTTGCTGATTGTTAGTGCAAATTCACAGCAGGCATCACCAAATGCTGTAAACATCACAGCTCCTCCTCTGAGTGGTGGTCATCTGCAAACAGCAGCTCTCTGATTAGTACCTTTCTTATCCTGATTTAAGCCTTCAACCTACGAGCATTGTAAAGGCTGTCGTCCGATCGAGAATGGATGAATATACCACCCTCCTGATCTAGAAAGGCATAATCCAAAAGAAGCGAAAAGTATATTCCAAAGAGGGTAAAAGCAAGTACACATCCCTGCTTGACTCCATACATAACTTAGCTCCATCTATGACTAGCCATTAACATGTTCACACATGGTAATATATTTACATATCAATATATTTATGTAATTTATTTAGTATAATTATCTTTACTCATTAAGGAGTATATTTATAAATTCATATAATACAATTTTCTTCAGCAAAATGTGAAAAGAAAGCTGTCAGGCCATGATATACAAAGAATTTGTAAGTATGTTTTTTTTTTTTTAATTACAAGAAACAATTCATGATATGTTACCAACACTTCATTTTATTAGTAATTCTATGAGAAATTAGAGTGAGGCAGCTGATGTACAATATGTACCATTTGTCATCTGACACTTATATGGTCCCTAAAGTATTGGAGAGTATGATAAATAAATGCTAACAGGGTTCCAGCCTGAGGAAAGCAGACTGTGAGCTGTGCCATCTATTGGAAGAATGAATAAATAGGCAAAAGTAGTCAAATGACAGATACTGCTGTTATCGTGTGAAATGTTAATCTTTCACATATTCTAAACCACACATTTGTTTCACATCTTCTCTCTTGGTCTCCCTTTGCCTCTCCTCCCCGCCAAATTACTTCTTACATAGTTATTTTTTCTCTTCTCATAGCATCCCAAAGAATTTAGATTGTCACTTGTTGATATGGTAATCAGGTCTCTTCATGAGTAACTTTCTTTTAAGTCATTTTTTAATCTGCCAAAAGTGTCATAATTCTGTAAACCCACATCTCTGCAGCTTCCAAAATATGTTTTCTCAAATCAGATGAGTTTCTGTTATTCACTTATATACAACAATTTTAGCACCTAGGACAAGGAAAAGTAATAGAGAACTACAAAGAGGACCTTTGTTGCTGGTGCCTCCATTGGGACGCCACTATAACCCCAATTCAGGGAAGATGAAGATTTTGATAAGATTCAATAATGTGAAAGTTTAAAATGAACATACAAAGACATATTATTGATATTAGTATATAGTTGTATATCAGATGGAAATTTAGTAAATGCCTATACAAATGAATTAGTTAGTTGTATGTTAATTAGTTTGTTATTGCTTTCTGAACAATTCAGTGCTTATACCATTGTCAAAAGTACATTAAAAGTGGTTCGCTTTCAGATGCCTGCAGCTGAATCAAACTCTGTATGGTAGAACTGTGACAAGGCATTTATTACCCTTGAGTCACAGATGTCTGAACCCTTAAGTCAGGGATGTCTACAAATTGAGACTGATACTGTATGCAGATGTGTGCCACCATCTGTGATGGTGTCCCAGGACCTAGGCTCAGACTAGACAAGACCTTTTTAACACCTTTCCTCGATCATCAACAAACAGTGTCTGGCCAACATAGATAGGATCAGGGTTATCTTGAAAGCTAGAGCACATCTGCCTGGAGTCAGGAACCAGCAGTCTCCATATAAATGAACCAAATATGTAAAACAAATCTGCACTTTAGTCCTGGAACAAAACCAGATTCCAGACAGACGAAAAACCAAGACTTTTCACAACCAATGTTCATAAAAAGAAAAAGACTAATACATGTACTAATTTTTAATTAATTCTTTTCATAAACTGTCTTTTCTTTTTTAATATCAGCCCATCATGGACATGGCCACCATCACATTCCGTCCATTCCTGCATGCTCAATGTCCCAAATTCCAGAACCAATCATGAAAGTGCTCAATCTGGACTCTACTTGGGATTTTGATATTATTACTCTTGAAACACTTACCAATAAAAGGTGAGTTGTGAGATGATATTGCCAAAATGACTGCTTGCAATTAATAAGTAAATAATTCCTGATTCTAATTAACTCTTTCAATCCCAGGGGGGTTCTTGCAGCCATTGCCCTTGGAAATGAATGACCATTCTGAAGAGTCACATTAGCATAACTTTCAAACAGGCAAATGACCCAGCTGAAGTACCCAGTAGGTGAAAACATTGCACGATGGCTGAGATTCATGTGGGAAAGTCTATATTACACATCACAGTTTGCAAGGGACTTGAAGAATAAATGGATAATAACATCAAAATGTTGGCTGGGAAGTCACTTTAACACCATATCATGTTGTATTCCAGATTTCTTTGTGTAAACCAAATTAGTCTTAGTAATTATAACATATTAAACACATATTTATTCAACTAATCAGTTCACTTTAAAAACATATTGCTAGCATGGTGTATCTATTTTTACAAAGATAAAAGCATTTAATGTATCACTCAGTCAGTCAGTCAGTCAGTCAGCCAGTCAGTCAGTCGCAGTTGGGGTTAGCATCAATTTATCTCTAACATTTATTTTTTCTTTGGTCATAAGCTGCAGACTGTTGCTGCTAATTTAACTGTTAATGTTGTTTTATCATTTATATTATGTTAACCTCCTTTTACTTAAATGCCCTCATATTTTCTCTAAAGTGTATTTTAAAATAATTGTTCTGTACCTTTTTTTATTGCCTTGAGAGTTCTACATTTTTTTTTCTTTAGCTTTATTTTAAAAGCTCACACATATAACCCAATGTTTTTTTTGTTTTTTTTTAATTGTTGAATAGTGCTCTTTTGATATCAGTTGTTACAAGTTTGTTCTGCAATATAGTTGACATCTATGCAATTATTTTATTTGCTTAATTAAATGCATTTTCTATCTCTGCTTCTTTTTTTCTTTTTTTTTCTGATGATATTCTGTTTCCTAGGTGCCTGTAATCTTGTAGTCTTTTGTTTCTTTGGTGTTTTTTTTTTTTTTTGGGGGGGGGGGGGGGGGAGGGGGGGGGGAGGGGGGAGAGGGAGGGATGTTCAGTATTCATTTTTATGTTTTGTGCTTTTGCAGCTATGTTAAGCCTATCCAGGTACTTGTGTAGCTTTTACTCTGTACTGCCATTAGGTCTTGGTCATCCACAAAGAGGAGTTTGTTACATAAATTTAAATGCATAAATGTCAGTTATTAATAGTCAATTTGTCTCCAACTATATGCTCTAAATGTCAGTTATTTTAAGATATCTAAGCATCTTCTGGTAAAATGTTGTACCCCTTTCAACAATTGCAGGCCATTGGTTCATCTTGGTTTAAAGATATTCTCCCGTTTTGGAGCCTGTGAATTACTCAACATTACCGAAACTTGTCTGGTCAATTGGTTACAGCTGATTGAAAGTAACTACCATGCTAACAACCACTACCACAACTCCACTCATGCAGCTGATGTGATGCATGCAACAGCATATTTTCTAGACAGGGAAAGGTCAAAGGTAAGTCAGGCAATAATTTTTATTCTTCTTCACCTCGTTTTAAAGTGTCAATGGAGATGCAAGGTTTTTCTTCTTCTTCTTCTTCGAGTTCACCAGCTGTACACTCTGGTGGAAAGTTCTGGTTGTTCGTCCACTTCTGAACTGCAGTCCTGCTCCAGAACCTGAGTGTTGCATGTGCATCAGTTTTACAGATCTGATTCACTTGAATGCAGACTGTTGGTTCCTTGCCTCTCAGGCAGATGCACTCAGACTTCAAAGGAAGCTCCCCAATTAGTCGACTCTTATGACATGCTTTTGGGCAGGCAGAGGGTCTATTCTTGTTTTCCCCACGATGGGGCCCCGGAACCCACACGGGGAATGCAAGGTTCTGAATCTGCATAGTGTAGACTTGTAAGAGTTATCCCCAGGTTAGGCTGACCCAACGTATCCAAAAGTGAGTGTTGAGTCATGTTCTGGAAAATATTAATTGTCAGTCTGTTAACTCCTTTAGTCCAAGGCAGACATTAATTTAGTTTGCTATATTCTACAAATGTTTTACTCAAAGTAAGACATGTCAGGGTTTAAGTGGGGTCAAATAATAACAGAATAAAAAAGAGTTGCAGTAGCGATTAAGATAGAATAGGTTATTCTATTGAGTGGATGATTATTAGGGAGTTAATAAAAACATATCATGTAAAGTGTAACCAGTAAACACATGGTGAGTTGTTTAGCACTAAAAGAGTTAAATCGTCGGAATAGCATATTATACCCAGTAGGCATCAAGATGTTGAAAAAAAACCTTAATTTTCAATTTTTTTTTCTTGTTCAATAACTATAACTGCTAAACTAATTTCTCCTCAGTCTTATGCTTATTTATATCATGATCACAGACATTGCTATTCATTTCAGGAAATATTTGATCAACAAGACCAAGTGGCAAGTCTAATTGCTGCTGCTGTTCATGATGTTGATCATCCTGCAAGAACTAATGCTTTTTTGATAAATGAAAAGCATCAGCTGGCCATTCTTTACAACGATCAGTGAGTTTTATATTTGACATCATCTTACTCCCAACACATAGCATGATGCTAGATCACCATTTGCTTTTGACTATCTGAAGAGTTCATTCCACCTTTGTCAGTCAAATACATTTGACAGGATGTTCATATGTTTGAGACCTGTCCCTTCAGCCAAATTCTGTAATTGTGTCTTTCTTGGTCTGCCTTTCTTCTCTTTCTCTCTACTGAGCCTTGTAGTATCATTTTTGAGATGCTGATACATCTTGCTTCATGCTGTATCATTGTGTTTTCCTTCTTTTTGTTGTTAAAAGGGATAAATGGTTGAGTGATGATACAATGTATTGAGTGAACCTCATCATTTGTGATATGTTTTTTGTATTATGTGTGTACTATATATCAAACTCACAATTCTCACCCCAATCTTGTTTCGCTGCGTGATTATATAGAGGGTCCCATTGGTTGTCCTGAATTCGATACTTATGAATTGATATGCCTTAGGTGCTTTCCCCTCCAGTATTTTTCCTTGTACACAGTCGCCTGCAGTGCCTGAGACCTAATCACAGCAACACATTCTAAAAATAAAATACTCATTCACAAGCGGGATTCTCTGGTAGACAATTTGTCGACCTCGTCAAATGAGCCCGAGTCACTTTTCCGCACGCTGTGTATAAACAGTTAAGGAAGACATCTCATAACAACCCGACAACATAGGACAGTCAGTGGAACGGCTACAAAATCATGCAGCGGGATGAGATAGGGTGACAATCATGAGTTGTACCCAAACGTCATTTGAAAATATGTAATTTCCAAGCTTGTATTTTCTTTTAAACTTCAGATGTTAGGGTCCATGTTTCACAGCCGTTTGTAAAAGTACTGACAGAGTGTTCTAAGCACTCCTATTTTTTTTTATTTTTTTTTTAATTTTACATGAAATGTTTTTGGCTCTAAATATTTCTTACTGCTTTGAGAAGACTGATGTAGTTAAGACATTTCTTGACAAGACTTCATATTTGGGAATTAGGCTCTTATATCTACACTGTGGCCTGGACACTGAAGGGAATACTGGCCCAGTGAGACAACACTGCACTCAAGGGTGTATGGAACTAAAAAGGAACTCCTAAAAACAGTCAAATTTCTTACAAGAACTTGTCTGTTGTTGTTAAGCAAATACAGGAAGAAGAAGAAGACACTCGAACTCTTACATTTTTCACTGTCCTGCAGCCTACATTTTGTGCTTACCTTACTATTCATCTTTGTGTCTTTTTCTCTTCTCTCTGCATTTTAGGTCCTTCTCTACTTCTTTTGCCTTGTGTGTTCTAGTACATGCCAGTTATATTATTGTAAGATGTTCTGAGTCTGATGTTAGCATCTTTTCCTGACTTCTTGGTTCAAAGTTATTAAGCTCCTATTATTGTTATCATCTTCTAAGCCTTTACAGTTTAAATATTATACAAAAATCAAGTAGAAATATTTATTAACACACTATAACTTAATAAATAATAATTTTGTTAATGAATCGGGAAAAGGGGGGGGGGGGGTTTGAACTGGTGGGACTCAGCAGGGCAATCCAAGGAAATGTGAAACCCCTGGAGGTTTGAATGTCTCTAAGATTAGAAACATTTCAGAATAGCGAGCCAACAAGTGTATGTCATTTACCCCTCGTACCTCTAGAGAAGTAATAATAAGGTCACCCATATTTTGTTGGAGTGTGAGCAAACAAATTAAGAAGAGTTTAGAAGCAACTGAGATCTGGTTCTGGAGAAGAATGTTGCAAATACCCTGGACTGTCAGAGTAACTAACAGTGATTGCCTGGAAATGGCTAATGAAAATAGAACATAATTTACAACAATGCGAAGGAGACAAACAAAGTTCTTTGGTCATGGGATGAGAAAAGGAGCACTGGAAAATATCATGATGACTGGAAAGATCACTGGTAGAAAAGGCAGAAGCAGATCGAGACCAAGAGAAATGATGGTGGATGACTTGAGACAGTGGCATGGAGGAATATCATCAGTGGAATTGATCCAGAACACTAAAGACCGAGATCTGTAAAGATGCATGAACACCTATGCCAGCTGGCAAGGCACTTGATGATGATGATGATATTGTACCACGGGGAGGCTTATACAAAAGTAAAGAGAAGATTAGGAAGTGATACATGGTAATGAAATTAGTGCAATTTGTTTACTTTAGAAGATCTATATTAACTTGCTGTTTATCATTGTTCTTCTAGGGCTGTGCTAGAGAGTCATCACGCCAGCATGTGCTTCAGGCTGACTCATAAAGATCCAAGTGTTGACATCTTTAAAAATTTGAGCAGGTAATTGTTTTACTTCATTAATGTTAGAAAAACAGTCAAAACCTGTATATTTTTTCTCTCTGTAATTTAAGAGTAATAAGAATCTGTCAGAAGATAATGTAAGACTGTCTCAGGCAAAACGAGTTGAGGCTGAAACTAGTGCAGCTTAAGAAGATAGAGACAGGATGGATTCAAAGCAAATGGTTTGAGTCGCTGAGGATATCTCGTCTGAAACGATTTAGTTTAATTCTTTGTGGAGTCAGCTAAATTAATACCTTTAACAGAGTGAATAAAAGTAGTCAATGTTTTAAAACTAAGAGTTTTAGATTCTTATTAGAATTTGGATGAGACATCAGATTATCTGTCTCACACATAGTAGGGCATGTATTTGATCTTTTTTAAAGTCTACATTTTTCTTATAAATACAATCCTATACCGTATACTAAGTGACGACTGATTCAGAAAAATGGCTCTCCCAAAAAACTCTCAACAAAAAAACTATTTTGTCGCATACCAGGTTTAGTACAGAAGCTGTAATGAAACAAACACAGTATTTATTCATTTCAGTTTTGGTAAAGATGTCTCAAATACATGTTTTAAGTTACAGATACTTTTTTAAATAAAGATGGGATATATAATTCATACTTTTTTCCACTTCTTTACACCCCAAGAAGCTATTTAAAAAAAAAACAATTTTGTTGGGTCCAAGTCCCTGTAAATGTCAATTTTTCAAATTGTCTATAGTGACCTGTTGCGAGATTCATAATTATTGTTAATGGCTGTTTTCACACCTGCACAAATGTTGGAGAGATCTAGATATCATTACATTCTTGAAATAGCGTTTAGGGGGTTTTCCATAAAAACAAATTGGTCCATTAAAGCTGTTGATGTTAAAATTGTCCTTGTAAGCCTCAGTGATTGAGGTTATGGAGTCACAATTTGTGTCAGCTGATATATGTTTTTCAAGGCCCCAGGGGTGTATTCCAATTATTGCTTTACACAGTTCTTGTTTAGCTATTACTTACTGTATTTCATGTATCTATCTGTTTAGAAAACAAATTTTAAAATGTAGATGAACAAAAATGTTATGAATTTACTAGTGACCCTTCTCACATTCGTTTTTTTTTTTTCAGGATTTTGTATGGAAATCTAACAGGGTCATGACTTTTTTTAAATTTTTTTTTTAATGTTCCTGGGCAAGAGAGTAAATGCTTTAATTCTAGCAACAACCGCAGAATTTACTCTCATTATATAATAAGCAAATTGTAAGGAAACAAACTATGAGGTTTTATTTATTTTTTCAACAGATCAGTATTGATTTTTTAATCTATGTAATGATGGTGTCTGTGGCTAAGGAGTAGCAAACACAGTTTGTAATTATGAGATACCTGGTTTGATTCCAGCTGCAGGCTATTTGGCAGCAGGTCTGTGCATTAATTCTGGCAGTGGTATCAAGAGATGACTATTTAGAAGGCAATGGCAAACTACTGAATGTAAAAATTGCCTAATGAAACCACAAACAGGCAATAAAGGCTGGGGTTGGTTTAAAATGGCATGTAAAGAATCTGCAGCTAACTTTAATCTATGTAATATCTTCTTCTTATAGTCCCTGCTGTGCGGTATTTGTAGTGATGTCTATCCACAACCTTCTGTCTGGTGCAGTTTCAGTCATTTCTGACACAGATAATCTTCTATGTCGTGATGTCAGACTGTCCAGCATCTTCTCTCTTGGTCTCTCTGTTTTCTTTTCTGTCTTTTTCTGCCTCTTTTTCTTGCATTCGGCCTCTCTCTGCCTCTTTTCCCTTCCAGCTTTCCCACTATCACAATCTACTCCAGTTTTCTCTTCCTCATTACATGACCAAAGTTGTTCTACTGTCCATGATTCACTTTCATATATCAAGATAGGATTTAAATATCTCTTGAGAATTCTCCTTCTCGTCTCAAATGACATAGACAAATTATATTGAATATTCTTCAACTTGTAAAATGCTGCCTTTGCTTGAGCTATTCTACATTTTAAAATCTATATCTTATATCTGCTGTTACCTGAGTACCCAAGTATTTAAATATAGTAATATAGTCATATGTAGCAATATAGTAGTATATCTTCTTCTTCTGTGTTCATCCAAACACCCTTCACAGCAGAAGTGTGATATTTGTGCCTTGTGGCCAACACATCCCACTGCTGCAGATGTGGACTGGGTTAGCCTTCCCGGTAGTAGAAATTTACTTTTTCTTGGCTCACCGACTGTGAATTCTGCTGGAAGTCCCAGTTGATCATCCATTTGGCTTTCACCTGGACCTGAGTTTTTCCTTTTTCTCCTCAGTGAGGATTACAAAGTCATGCGCCAGACAATTATAGACCAGGTTTTAGCAACAGACATGAAGCAGCATTTTGAACATCTTTCCAAGTTTACAACCTCCATTACTAAAAATCTGCAAAAACTAGAGGGTGACAACACAGATGTAAGTACATTACCTCTTTTAATCCCAGGCTAGATGTTATTTAATGGCACTATTTCACAAGAATTTGTTTTTTCAACTAACAAATGTTTGAGTCTGAAGCAGATAAAAAAATAACACCATGAGAAAGAAGGATATAAAAACAACAACTAAGGCAGAGTAAGTTAACATTATTACAGGATAAGAATAGTATATTGTGTAAGCGAGCTCAACAAACACATGAAGAATTGCTGGAAACTAAATGAGTCTTTGCATATGAAAATAAAACTGATTGAACTTTGGTTAAAAAGTGGGGGGGAAAAAACAATGGAAAAACATCAGGATTGCAAACCAGCAATTATAATAATCAGGCAAATTATGTCACTGTGACAAGCTTTCATAAGCAGATAACAATAAGAAGTAATATACATTGAAACAACAAAAAGAAGTGAATAGAACAGAAGTGATGTATTCTTCTCATTCTCCTCTTGTTTCTTCTTTCTCTTCCTCTTCTTCTTCTTGGAATTATTATTATTACTCCATTTCTTTGTCTTCTTTCTTTGCTTAACCCTACCAGACCTGAGGCCCTGAACCTAACTGTCCCTATAACCTGAGCTCCTGGGCATTACCGCAAAAAAACATCATGATATACAACAAATATTAGTTACATACAAAGGGGTGGCTAGAATATGATGAAACTTGGAGACATTGTAGAAAATAGGCTTACCTTTGATCTAGCGCCAATATTCCACCTTTGTGTGCGAATTCACTCATCAGGATCAACTTTGTTTCACAAAGTGAACACCAGATGTTGCCGTTTAATGGACACACCCCCTTCTCCTACTATCCATCTATTTCAAGATTTATAATTGTCAAGATTTTCCTCATCATTCGCGCTCTCACTGACAGTGTCACATTCAAGAACGTATTCTTTATTAAATTATAACAGATAATGAATAAATATATATATATATATATATATATATATATATATATATATATATATATATATATATATATATATATATATATATATATATATATATATATATATATATATATATATATATATATATATATATCACAGAGTCTGAAAAAAACCAAAGTATCGATCACCTGTTGGATTGTGAAAAGCCTAGAACTTGGTTCATCAGCCGCTCTTTTCATTGTTAATTTTCATAATTTTTCCATGTAAAACAACACAAATATAATCCACACATGTGGGCAGACATTTGCAATGTCTAACAAAGAGGATTGATAACAATTTGGTGGTTATTTTTAGTCCGTGACGCATTGTTTTCCCGTACTACGCAAAAAGCCTAAAATTAGGGCCAGCTGTGTAGAGACTGGTTAAGAAATCCCTGGTAAACCGGGCCAGCAGTCTGGTAGGGTTAATCTTCTGCATTTCTTCTGCTTCCTCCTACTCCTCCTCTTCCTACTACTATAACTACTCTTTCTCTTCCTTTGATTAGGAAACATGTCAGAAACTGAAAAGAGATTTTAATCTGCAGGAACTGCTGTTTGACATACCTCTTTTTTGTTTTCAGACAGAAGGCCATGAAGCTGATATGAATGCTGTGTTGTCTGACTTGTCCCTTCATGAGAACCGAACCCTCATCAAGAGGATGATGATCAAATGTGCTGATGTTAGTAACCCACTCAGGCCACTAAAGCTGTGTAAGGAATGGGCATACAGAATAGCTGAAGAATACTGCCAGCAGGTAAGAAAGATTTGTGGCCTAGCTACTCTCTTTATCCCTCCACTGGATTCTGTTTTTAGCAAATTTCTTCATCCCTTAACTTGCTTTTATTCTTAGAAACTGTATTCATCCCTCCACTGGATTCTGTTTTTAGCAACTTTCTTCATCCCTCCACTGGATTCTGTTCTTAGAAACTTTCTACATCCTTTTACTGGCTTTTGTTCTTAGCAGCTTTCTTCATCCCTCCACTTACGTCTATTCTTAGAAACTGTATTAATCCCTCCGCTGTCTTCTGTTCTTAGCAGTTTTCTTCATCCCTGCACTGTCTTCTATTCCTTGCAAATATTTTCATTCTTTCACTGCTTTATTTTCTCAGAAACTTTCTTTATTTTACTACTGTCTTTTAAAGTTAAAGTCGAGAGGTTAGACTTTCTTGCAGTGAGTTTTATTCCAAATGGTTCAGTCTTCCATCAGAATGGCCAGTCCTGCTCCAAGAGTGATGTACAAAGCACAAAATCTGTACTTTTGGTGACATTCCTCGGGGATCTTGACTAACAACTGTTTTTATCCCGTCACTATCATATGTTCTTAGCAACACTTTTCATTCCTTCACTGGTTTCTGTTTTTAAGTAAACATATTTAGGCCCTCCACTATCTTCTATTCTTAGTCATTCTTTCAATCCTTCTAGTATGTTGGTTCTTAGCAACGCTTCTCAACTTAGCATAAATCAGAGTCTTAGTATTATTCCATAAATGGCTATGTTATTGTTGTTGTTGCTACTGTTTTTGTGTGTGTGTGCGTGAGGGAGCATTTACGTTTTTTAGCAACACTTTTCATTCCTTCACTGGTTTCTGTTTTTAAGTAAACATATTTAGGCCCTCCACTATCTTCTATTCTTAGTCATTCTTTCAATCCTTCTAGTATGTTGGTTCTTAGCAACGCTTCTCAACTTAGCATAAATCAGAGTCTTAGTATTATTCCATAAATGGCTATGTTATTGTTGTTGTTGCTACTGTTTTTGTGTGTGTGTGCGTGAGGGAGCATTTACGTTTTTTATAACATTTTTATTTTTATTCATCAGAATCTTGTATATTCCTCTTGTGCAAATTCTTGCCCTAAAATATTTGTAATAATGGACATCTGTGTCTCATATTGTAACCAAATAATAAAAACCTTTGATTTCCTTTCTTATTTATGCACTTTTTTCATGTCACGTTTAATTGAACAGTAAAAACATATGTGTATATATGTATAATTTCAGACAGATGAAGAAAAGTCGAAGGGACTACCTGTAGTTATGGCACAGTTTGACAGAAAAACACTGAACATACCCAAATGTCAACTGGCATTCATTAATCTTTTCATTACCAGCATGTTTGATGCTTGGGATAGTAAGTAATATTTGTGAAACAATTTTTAGCAAAACTGATTCTGATACATTTTAGTATCTTTTTAGTATTGGAAAAAAATCAGCATTTCTCAAAATAATGATCTCTCCAAGAGAACTAGTTATCCACACTTGAATAAGATCATCTATACTCTTTCAGGGATGAAAAGGAGTAGAGGAGAAGGGAGAGGGGAGGAGAAAGGGGAGGGTGGTTGGAAGTTGGAGGATGAGGAGGAGGAGAAGGATGAGGAGAAGAGGGAGGGAGAGAAGAAGGGAGAGGGGAGGCTGAGAGGTGGCGATGAGAATGGGGTACAATAAGGAAAGGGGATGAAAAGGGAAGGGGTGAGAAAGGAGAGAGGGGTGAAGGAGAGGAAGGAAAAGAATCATGCGGCAGGTCCTTTGCTCTTATGATTGTATTCCAGAAATTCACTGCAAATTTTCTGCCTCTTATATACCCATGGTCTCTTTGACATTCTATGACCCCTGCCTCTTCCTTTAGGAACCCTACTGCTCTCTCTAAATCATAAGAGTGTTTAATAAGTTCAACATAATGTGACATAACATTTTTTTTTAAAGTAAAGGACCCTTTTCCAAGCCTTTTGGCGTATAGGGCATATAGGCTAGACCTATATTTTTATAGACCAATCAGCACAAGATGGGTGATGTGGTCAGCATCAGGCCAGCCGCCTTTACTTTCCGGGACTGCACCTGGTACCCACTCAAGGCTGGGTCGAGCTGGGAGCCAGGGTCATTTTGAAAAAGTCTGGCTGCTCCTGGGAGCGAACCCATGACCTTCCGATCACGGCAAGTGTCTAGCTAACTCCCATGACATAACATAATATAACAAAACGTAATATGGTCAAAGTACTTAAGTCTTAGTGTCAAAGAAATGGCACTGCCTATGAGCCAATTCCCCCTCAGCACTCAAGACCTGGAGAATGTTAGTGGTTTCCCTTTTCTTGGCATATGATACTCTGGAAGTTTAAAGTTTGAACGAGGGATCACATCATGGCACATAGGTAGTAACCCATGTCCTCCATTCTTCTTCTAACTTAAGTCTGAGTCCGAAGAAGCTCAGCACTTTGCACAGGCTCTGTAGCACCGGCAAGGATCCTGAAATACTTTGGGTAGATTTTTAACTCAAAACTTTACCCTTGGCAGCACCGTTAGGCTACTCTTTTCTATTTCCAAATGCCAAGGAATTTTTTTTACATGCGCAACAATGCACACAAGCATCTGATCTCACTATCCAGAGACAAGGGGAAATACTAGAAGTCCAAGTCCACGTGAAAAAATCCCAGATCTAACAAGGGATTGAACCCAAAACCTCTAGCACTCGAGGTGGACACCATGCCTCAAGACCGCTTGATACTCTGGGAATCTTCCAGTAACATTTGAGCTCAAATACCCTGATTCTGGTAAGGCTAAGCTGGACAATCAATGCCTGCAAAGGATGCAAAAATCACAGCCAAGTTAAAAACAGGCATATCAAATTTTCATCTTCAGGTGAACGCAGAAAGAGAAATGCCCTGATTATTCTTTTTTTGTTTTATAGCAAACTAGTCCATGATTCTTGCTCAAATTTTGCTACATGAAAGATGCATAATTTCAGAACTTCACCTTTCAATTGGTTGCTGAATTTGCAAAGAAAATGTTTTTTTGGTTATAGACTCTTCATACTATTTAACTTTTGCATTGCTAAAGATTGTGAGCATAATAATATGTAAAAACAATTATATATATATATATATATATATATATATATATATATATATGATTTGAAGCTCTGTATAATAATTTATTGGTGTTTTTTTTATTAAAACATTCTTATGTTGCTTAGTTTTGTTTAAACTAATTGCTCATTTATTTTTCATTTCAGTTTACTGTGATATTCCTGAGTTGATGCAGCATCTACAAATAAACTATGACTTCTGGAAAGCACAGGAAGAACTAAAAGACAAAGAACAAGTTACTTCTCAAGGAATGGACAATAGTTAGCTTGGCTTATGTTTCTATGAAACCTGGCTATATTCCTGCTTTCTTACAGTAAATTCCTTCCTATGCTAAAGATTAGATCCGTAATAACTGTTTTCAAAAGTTTAGAGCAAGTTACATGACTTTTTATTGTGTCAAAGATCTATCTTAAGTAGTTTTTTTATACCAAACAAAAAATGGCTGCTAAATCAGATTTATTAAATGGTTTATTAATCAAATTTATTTTCATTATTTTCAAAATAATGTGATTTTTTTTTTTTTTTTTTTAAGTTGTGAGAGCGTAGAACAATCTTCTTTTTGCTTTGCATAACAATGGATGGCCACACCTTTATTCACTGTTAAATCTAGATTCATGGACAAAGAAAATGTAACTGCTGGTAAATGTCAAGAAGTCCTATATTTCTTGCTGACATTGTGTTTTGTACAATATTATCAAGGAGAGAGGGAAATCTCCAAAACCATGCAGAAACCACTGCTGCACTGTGATTACAATTATGTGATGTTTGCATTCAGTTAAATGTTCATAAGCATCACATGTTTAGTATGCTGATTCATTCATGGGTGAGTGAGTGAGTGTGTGTGTGTGCTTGTGTGCGGGTGTGCGGGTGGCTGTGCGGGCATGGATGCATGTGTATGTGTGTGTGTGAAGATGTCAAATCTGGACTGTTCTTCATGTTGACATATAATTAAGACACCTGCTTTGTTAGGTTTTTATGTTCATTTTTTTGTAAGATTTGATTTTTACTAACATGTTTATAATGTAGTGATTGCTTATATCGCATTTAAAAAAAAAGTATTTCTTACCAACACATGGACTTGTTGTAGCCTTAAATGTAACTTTTTTAGAGGTTGAACAGGGTATCTGGAATTTATCATGTTAGATTGATAAATCAGGACATAGCACTTTAACTCACAGGGGGTGTTAAAGCTTCAGGCAGCCAAGAAGGGGTTGGGTTGACTCACAGGTGGTGTTGAAGCTTCAGGTAGCCAAGAAGGGGTTGGGATGACTCACAGGGGGTGTTGAAGCTTCAGGTAGCAAGAAGGAGTTGGGATGACTCACAGGGGGTGTTAAAGCTTCAGGCAGCCAAGAAGGGGTTGGGTTGACTCACAGGGGGTGTTAAAGCTTCAGGTAGCCATGAAGGAGTTGGGATGACTCACAGGGGGTGTTAAAGCTTCAGGTAGCCAAGAAGGGGTTGGGTTGACTCACAGGGGGTGTTAAAGCTTCAGGTAGCCAAGAAGGAGTTGGGATGACTCGCAGGGGGTGTTAAAGCTTCGGGTAGCCATGAAGGAGTTGGGATGACTCACAGGGGGTGTTAAAGCTTCAGGTAGCCAACAAGGGGTTGGGATGACTCACAGGGGGTGTTGAAGCTTCAGGTAGCCAAGAGGGGGTTGGGATGACTCACAGGGGGTGTTAAAGCTTCAGGTAGCCAAGAGGGGGTTGGGATGACTCACAGGGGGTGTTAAAGCTTCAGGTAGCCAGAAGGGGGGGGTTGAGATGAATCACAGGGGGTGTTAAAGCTTCAGGTATCCAGAAGAGGTTGGGATGACTCACAGGGGGTGTTAAAGCTTCAGGTATCCAGAAGGGGGTTGGGATGACTCACAGGGGGTGTTAAAGCTTCAGGTAGCCAAGAAGGGGTTGGGTTGACTCACAGGGGGTGTTAAAGCTTCAGGTAGCCAAGAAGGAGTTGGGATGACTCGCAGGGGGTGTTAAAGCTTCGGGTAGCCAAGAGGGGCTGGGAATGTTAGATCACTTGCATATATTCTGTGACTAGCTCAGAATAATACTAAGATGATGAAGCATAATCTAGCTACAGCAACAGAAAGTGAGCCATTGGAAGTATATCATTTTGTTTAATGGTATCATTACATTAAGTTTTGCAGGTGGAGAAGTATTACTGTGATAATGCTATTTAATTTCACTGAATCAAAGAAGTATATATTTCATCCATTTGCCTATCATTGTTCAAAACAATATGTAAGCTGACATATTGTATAAATATTGTAGTAGAAAATGGAGCATACCATACATAGATTAAAGCATAATATAGATATACTGAAATAAATTATATAACTCTCAGTTAAATTAGCTATAGGCCAAACAGTTCTCTGCTAGTAGTGTCTTTGTACTGCTGTTCAAAATGGACGCACTGTTTGGAGCTGAGGCAAATTTTTTGCTTCTGCCGGACGGTGGCCGAAGCATTTTTGCTTCATTTGTCGACTGGATATAGTTTTGTCGCCCAGCTTCTGAGCTGAATGCATGGCGTGACACTGTGAACTGTGGATTTCATTTGGAATGTTTTTTTCGACTGTGACCAACGTGGCGGTGTGAATTGTAGATTCAGAAAATGGCATGATGCCTGTCGTCGCAATGTTGGGGGTGCCTAAATGTGATTAAAATTGATCACATGGACAACTGCTGATCTGTTGGTGACTTCTGCTACCATCAATGATGAACTGCATTTCTAATGTCGGACTGTTTGTGTTAGCACTTCAGATGGCCACCACATGCTTTAATAAGTGTGTATGCTAGATTTGCTGAGACAGCAGTTTGTCAATCTTTCCGCAAGGGACTGTGATAAACATTCTATGTGTTTTTCGTTGGCACAGGAGCCGAGCAAAGATGGGGTGACCCGTTTGCTATAAAGCTGAAACTAAGACTACCAGACTACCAGACCAGTCTTTGTACTAAAGAGACCCATTAATAAATCCGGCAAACCTGTCTTTTCTTGAATGAGAAACCTAAGAATCATGGAGCTGAAATCCCAGCCTATAACCCTTAATGGATCAAGCACATAGTCAGAGATCACTGAAAAAGAAGAAAGTTAACTCTCAGCTTTTTCAGTACCAAACAATGCACTATATTTTTCTTTGTTATTTCCAAAAGCAAAATAATGTTAGTTCTGTCTTTTATCACAGTCATAATATTAATCCTTTATTTAATAATTACTAGGTTAACCACTTCTGACCTACAGTGTCCCTTTTAAACTCTTTCATATATATATATATGAATATGTTGTTTTTATGCTGATGGGTTTTAACTAACTGGGACTGAAAGAGTTAAAGAAAACTGACTGCCCACATCAGAAGCAGTTAAATGAAATTCTTTCACCCTGTTGGGTGACACACACTGTTTATAGATGAAAGTCTGGCCATGGCAGTTCATTAAATAATGTATTTTTAGTAATATATCATATTTTAAATTGTCCATTTCAGATAAAGGTATATAAAATAGCATTCGCAACAAACATACACACACAAACAGTCAATAAGAGTCTTGTCTTGTGAGAAACTGCTGTTTCTTGCACTTGTTGCTGCAGTGTATTGTGAATGTGTATATTCTAGTGCCAAGTTCTTGTTGTTTGCGTTCACCCGCTATAAACTTTGGTGGAAAGACCTAGTTGTTTGTCCTTTTCTGGACTTTGACTTTGTTCCAGGGCCTGAGTTTTGGGTGTGCATCTGTTTTACAGATCTATCTTATTTGTATGCAGACTGCTGGTTCCTTGCCTCTCAGGCAGATGCACTCCAATTTCAAAGGAAGCCCCTAGTTAGTCGACTCTTTCGACATGCTTCTTGAGAAGGCAGTGGGTCTATTCTTATTTTTCCCACAAGACCCTGGAACCCACACGGGTGTAGTGCCAAGTGATTGCACAGACCTAAGTCACCATGTGCCATTGTAAACTATTGTTGCTGTTAATATCTACTCCTTGGCATTTTCTTGCGTCCTGAAACATTTTCCTACAGTTAAAGGCACACAGGGCTAGCTGTCTTTAACAGCCAGAGTTATAATCTAAATCACTAAAACAAAACATCATCTTGACAAACTGATATGGTGAGGCATTAGTTTTCACTGACATCATTTGGAGAACATCAAGGGGAATATCTAGGAATAAACTGGAGCACATGCATACACAGAAACTCTGTGTGGCTCTGTGTTGTACCTTTTTTTTTTCCTTTTTAATCAGTGCCTGCTTAACTCTTTGAGTCCCAGGAGGTTTAGCATCAGAAGCCCAAGGGGGAGTCAAGAGAGATGCAAAATTGGCGCATCTTGCGTTCATTGGGTCTCTAGGCGGGAACACATGAACGTATGATGCGTTTCTTGGGACTCAAAAAGTTAAGTCTGCAGGAGTGATGTTTAAGAATTTATGTCAGTTGATCTATGTATTTCCTTCTATACATGTCCATCAGTCTCTATGCCAGTTGACATGTCTGTCAACCTGTCTGTCTGCCTGCCTGTTTTCTTGAGTGCTTATACGTCCTTCCATCTGTCTATCTGACTCTCTTTGCTCCTGTCTTTCTAACACGTTTGTCTGCTTAACCCTTGGGAGATGGAGCCTTTTTTGAGTTTCATTGCCCAAAAGGTCAAGCCTTCAAGAGGGGATTCTCTTAGTTTACACACACTCAATTATTTAAAATATAAAGCATATAATTAGCATATACAAAACTGTATATATATACAAAAACGAAATATTTGTGTAGGAAATTGAATGAGCTAACAGCTAACTGAAATCTCAACATTTTCCTCTACTTCTTTTCCTGCCTCCAGCTATGTTTCAGTTGCTATGAGGCAACAGTCCTTTTCGCCATTGCTGGGCACAGGTAACCCCACCAAAAATAATTGATGTAAAATTGCAAAACACATCAGACTTTCTCAAAAGCCATCATTGAACAGCCCAAATGTGCAATAAATGCGAGAAACAATCCGACTGGCTGGTACGAAAACCTGCCAGCCAATGTCAAGGTTTGTATTATATAGGGCTGACCAATCAGCCCAATAGTCTTTATGACTATTTTGTGTCGGGCCGATAAATCGGCCGGGTTGTCTCCAAAGGGTTAACACCGAGTATGTCAAAGAGTATTAGTGATGATAAGGACAATTATAAGCATATTTAGTTTTAAATTATGTGTACTCATTTAGACAGCTATTAGTTATTCTTATTTGCTATAATAATCTTTACAGAACGGCAACTATCAGTTGTATATCTCAGTCATGTTAAAGATATCAT